GAAAGTCAAGGTTGAAACAATTGAAGCCAATCTTAATTTAGTTAAATTATTTTCATTGTGTTTCTCCTTATCAAAGGTAATCATTAACAATTGGTGAAAATTACAACGTTGATTGTTAATCATTATTGATTAAATTAACTCAATAGATCATAAGTTTTAATGGTAAAGGAATTAATTTAGAGAAACCAATTAGTTTAATTACCTTTACTAATACAAAAGTCAATTGTCTAGATTAATTTCAAATATAATAACTTTTAATCATGAAAGACTATTAGTATAATCATATTGGTTTAATATTCGTTATGTATTAAATTGATGAGTTTTAATTGTTCCAAATAAATTGTATCGTCAAGTTTAAAAAAAAAAGTTAGAATCGACTTGAGACTTATGGAGGATAATCCACCTTAGGGCAATTTACCGTTACTATTATTTAATATCATTCAAGTGGAAAATAATATTCATCTGAAACGAAAAGGTAATAATATAACTGAACTTAAGTATGTGAAAAATTTTGGAATTTTTTTCCCTCAGAACTTTCGTTATTCCTCCCTGATTATATTGGAACTTTTCGTCTTCTTATTTTCCCGAGATTATTGTAAGTGTAAAGAGTGAAGTTATCCAAAGAGAAAAGTTCTAAATAATAACGAAAAGGGGCTGAGATTCCAATTTTCTATTCGATAACTTTTCTCTCTCTCTCTCTCTCTCTCTTTCTCGATCAAATCATAACAAGAAATTACTATCAATAGATTAACCTATTTAATCATTGATAATCTGATTTGTTCGAGTTCCAAATTTTCATTTTAATCCTGAATTTTCATGATACCAAATGAAAGAGGAGAAAAGCATTCAACCAAATTGATGCAAGAACTTTTTTTTTTAATATTCTCTTAATAATTCGTTATCTCGAGTTCTTATCTATCAGAACTTTTTTTTTCTCTTCCTCCTTCACTAATGATTCCAAATTTCCGATTACTATTAATATCCTCATGATAAAAGGTGTAGAGTTTGAAAAGTTTCAAATTAAGAATCAGGAAATTAATTCAACAGTGAAAAAAAAGCTCAGAGATGTTGGTGATAAATAAGACAATTCTGATAACATGGTAACATCGTTATCATCATGATTACCTTGAAACTTTTGACTTAATCTGAGTAATTTTTCAGGATTTCAATATTTTCCTTATTAGTTACTAATTGTCCGGATGAGCGGATTAAACAATCAATTGGATAACAATGCAAATCCAGAGTCAATCAAAAGGTGAAAAGTTAATCAGTTAATCCTTTAACTTGCCAACAATTTATTATTACTTCAATTTATCAAAGTGTCACAATTTTCTTAATCCAGTTTGAAATTATCCTGATTCATGATTAACTGTCCACTTGCTATTGTGTTCAATTGTTGATTGGTGTCAGTGAACTAATTATTGAAGTAATAATAATAATTGCAATCTATTTATGAATTGTATTAACTTATATAGTTGATTCATTAATCATTACAATTTTGATTGTTGCTCCAGATCTCCTATTGATTGTTAATGTTGATTTCTAGTTAAATTTATGTTAACATTATTTTCGTCCTCCTTTGATTTATTGATTTTGTTTTTCTCGTTACAATTTAGCTAAATTGATATTCAATGAAATTATTGTCGTTTCTTGTTCATCCATGTTTCAGAATATGCTGAGCTAATCATCATTATCTTCATCGTTAAATATTATTCTGATATAACGACAGCAACTGAATCGACACACAGACAATTAATGTAAACAAGTCAACAGAAAAGTCAACAAGATAAACTATAATCAATAATATCGTTGATATCAACAGTTTTTTTTTGCTTCATCTCCATCAAATCAATTTCTATCCTAATCTTTATCCTCATCAGATAATTATTAGAGACATAAATGAGTAACAAATTAAGAAAATGATCCGTTGATCAATTTGTAAGAGTCAAAATCAGCTCATGAAACAATCAAGCTAACACAATCAGGGTGTCATCGCTTGATTATCTCATCGATTTGTGAATTGTGAAAAAAAAGTTCATTGTATTTAGATTCATGTATTGATCCTTATTCAGGGTGTAAATTTAAATTCTTGCAAATGGTTGAATGAATTTGATTAGAAAACATTGTTTTTATTTCTCCTTTTTCCCTGATTCGATTATCATCCTAACTATTCATTGATTCATCGTTGGTGTTGGTGATGATTTCGCCTCAATCATTTTCCCTGTGAGAATCTCCATTCACTTTGGTTCATTGTTACTCGTTTTCTTTAACGATTTTATTAATGGTTAATATCATTTTCCATCTTCTCCTTTAATTATCGATTGAAAGAGTTGGAAAAAAAGTTCTGGTTCTCATGTACTCGACTTCAAAATAATCAATGAATTACTATGTTACTGTTGTATTTCAATTCCAATTACTCTTTTTTTTATCATCAGAGCTTTAACTCTAATCATCATCAATATTGATTAGAATCATATTTGTTGATAATAATGATTAAGCTTATCAACAGAATATCATTCCGATAGATTCCAAGAATTCCTTGAATTTCTCTTAACAATCAACTAAAATGATCAACATCTTATTCACCAAAATCAGCGAATCAATTAATCAGTCAAACTAATATAAGAGGAAATCTTTTCATTCAGTTAATTATAAAACAAATAGAAACTAAATTAAAAATCGGCTGAGAAAATTCAATCACTTTTCCTTCAATGATTAACAACAAATCAATTGATTGTTGAGGAAGGAAAAGTAAATCATTTTATTAGAGATTCTCATTAAAAGTTAACAATTAATTAAAAAAAAATTGTAACACAATGAAAATCAAACACATGATTAAGAATTGGTGAGAGTTAAATTGTTCAAAAAAATCAATTAATTTGCTAAATTGTAACAACTCGTAAGAGAAACACTGATGTTTAGTGTTTTTAATTGTTATTACATTTAAAAGTAATGTTATTGATTCGTTAATTGAATAGGAAATTAATTTACTAAACAATTAGAAGATGATTTAACCTTGATTTCCACCATTAGTAACCTTTAAGTTTGATTGTCTATTTTGATGATTGATTAAAATGATTTAGAAAAAGTAAAAGGTTTTTCCTGTGGTGGTCAAATGCTAATTGTTTCCTGATTCCTTGGTGGACATTATTCAATAATAGAAACTGTATCAATGAACTTCATGGTATCTTCAGGGTAACGATAAAAGTAAAACAATTACAAAGAGAAAGTCTTGTTAACCTTTAAGTTTAGAGTCAACTGAATAATAGTTGGAACTAAATTAAGACGGAAACAGATAATAATAAGTATGATGAGGCAACTTGTTATCAGGATGAATGCCATTGGAATCAGTTTCATGATGTGGTCACAATTGGATGGAAATAGTTCAGCTTGGAATCATATTCCTCCGAATAATAAGTTTTCTTTTTTATATCATCATGCATTTGATTTTTTCTTCTTCTCTTTTCCATCCAAGTTTCAGATTCTCTATTCTCTCCCTCTTTATGTAGTTAAGGAGGCAATTTAATGATCATCAGATGATTGGTTATATCTTGAAAGTTTTTTTCTCAGGCTTCCTCATGAAAGTTATCCCTAACGGTGAAGAAAACAAAGAATAAGGAAAATAGAGAGAGAGAAGATAAATAAGATGAAAGATTCTTTGGTTCTGTTTTTGTTTTTGTTTTCATCTTTCAACCATCCGGATGATCATCATGATGATAGAAGAGCAACTTCGTTATATCATAATAATTCCAGAGGAGAGAGAATAGATTGATGAAGCTCTTTTTTTTATACATCATTCACTTCATGATGATGATGATTAGTGATCGAAACTACTGATTCCATTGTGATAATTAGACATTCAATATATAGTAAGTGTTGAAAGATAGTTAAGAAAATCGTAATAATAGATTTGATCTAATGGTTCAACAATCAGCTAGAATTACATCTTCACTTGACCCTGACTCAAACTTGAGAATTGAATGAAAAACCAGAATCTGTGGAAAATATAAATTAAAATAAATTAATAATTAACCGGAGAGAACGAGAAAGAAGAAAGTATTTCTCGAATGTAATAAAATAATAACTAACCTAAAGTAATATTTTTATTATCATGAAAAGAGTAGCAAAAAATATCCAATAAAACTAATGAAAATAGATAATGGTGATGATGATAACTGGATAATGGATGAAAAAGGTTACAAGAGTGAATCTAAATACGTTTCAAATGAACATAATCAGGACCAACAAGCAACACGATCAAGAGTGAATCAGGATAATCAAGTAGTGGAAAAATATTCAAACTATTGTTTCTGTCTATTCAATATCCATAGCAATACACCTGAACGATAGGGAGAGAGAGAGAGAGAAAGGTGAGTTTTAGTGAGTTACTTTGTAAATATTACCCATGAGAGTCATCTCACCATCTCACCATCTCACCATCTCTCTCTCTCTCTCCTTTTCTCCCTCTCTCTCATTTTTTATCCATTTGATGTCTATCTTCATGTTTGTATCCTTGTTTGTTGATCCTTTGAAATGCATCAGTTTTTTAAAAGCACAGAGAAGATAATAACCTTGACTTAGATTATAAATATTATACCATCTAAAAAATGATGTTTTCCATTAGCAAATTATTCGCTAATTAGACTACCATTAGTCTTAATTAGTTTCGACAGTTTGGATTAAAATTAGATTCCATCAATTTCGTTGTTGCTTCATTTCTTTCCCTCTATTTTATATTGTATCACCTTCCTTATTGTATCATTTTTCCTTGTTGAGTGTTGACTTAATTCCCTCTCACTAATCTGGATGTACTTTTGATACACTTTAATCCTGATGAAAAGGTAAATGTGTTAAGAAATGATTATTTCTAAACAATGATTGTAATCTTTTTCCAGATAATCTTTTATGTGTGAGTGTAATGATGATGATACAATAGAGAATGCTAAAGAAAATATCAAGAAACAACAGTTATTGAGATAGAGAAAGAGAGAAATGAAAATGTTACATCAAACTTATATACTAATCAGCATAAGATTAATAAGGTAATATTTATAAGCAACAACAATTAAGCTTAAGATAATTAGCAGAATAAATAACAATCAAGTGATATTACCACTAAACTCATAACATAACATTATCTTGTTAAACCTAAGGCATGTTAATTTGATCCTAATTGAGAAAAATTCAACCAGATTAAACAGATATAACTATTAATAGCATTTACCTAGTAAGTTTTAACAATCGTGTTGATTTGTTATTTTGATGGTTTTCCAAACAATTAAGACACATCAATGTGATGATAATGCCTTCAACTGCACCCATTCAAGTTAATTAATTATCATTATTAACACTGAAAAGATCAACTTTTCCACCTTCTCTGCCATCACCACCTCTTCAATTGTCCACTATCAGCATGGCTTAAAGATTTTCTCATAAAAAACTACCGTTATTGACCAACTATCCAAGGTAATCAATCATCACTCCCAGTTTTTTATACATTCGTTGGCATGATAACTTTGTTATATTATAAAAACGATTTGACAGGTTTGACAAAAGTTGATTATGTTGATGTTACGCAGGAAAACTGTCGATATGAGAGAGAAAAAAAAGATTCTCTCTAAGAAAATATAATAATCACAATGCTAAGAATGACATTTGAGTTTTTAAATAGAAACAAAAGTCAATAGGTTTTGCCAACTTTCTTACTTTTGATTCCTTAGATTCGATGTGACATGAAACACTTTCAGGTAGCACAGAATCTTAAATAGTTATCGAATTGAAAGTGATTGTTATTGATGCTCAACTTGAAAACAATTTGATTCTTTTTAGTTACCTGTAGGTGAGAAAGAGATGTTGAGTATTTAGTTAGAGATTTTGTTTTCATTTTCCAATTGTTGCTTACCTTTTGATGGATCATGAAATAGACACAAAAGAAACATTATTTTCTTATAACGGGAATTGTTCGTTGTTGAATCAAATAGACTGGAGAATCTCTGCTAAATCTTAAAGAATGGAAAGAAGAAAAAAATATTCTTTGGATTTACTGAAAGAGAATATAAATAATCGTGTATCTAGTGAGGTGAGAGAGAGAGAGAAAAATATCTACGATTGTGTTTCCAGGATCGATTGACTTTATAAACAGTTTTTTGCTTCTCTCTGTTGATATTGTTGAATAAATGAAATGAAACATTGATTATTTTGTAATCTAATCAAGAATCAGATTCACTTGCAATTGTAACAATCAATCACTAAGTTGAAGAAAACCTAAATAAATATCAAGTAACATTTGAAACAATAGGAACAAAATGAAAAGATACTTAACCAAAATGCTATATTAGATTAACCAGAAGGGAAAGAAAATCATCTTAATCAATCATAACAAATAATTATCGATGATTTGATTACGTTAACTTTTTAACCATGGGCATTTCATCACATGCAACTGAGTAAATCATTACATTCTTACATGCCTTTCATGACAGAACTAAACAATCGGTTAATGAAAATTCTTGAAGCCAAGTGGTCGAATGTTAAACGGGTCTGGTAAACAGATAGGATAAATTAAAACGGGAAAGTAGAAAAAAATTCAAATCGTTAAAAATCTTTAACAATAGTCCTCTGCAAAAATGATGATTATTACAAAGAAATCCCAATCAACAGTAAAGAGTCATGAGAGTCAAAAAACAAGGTGGATGGGACATTTTTACTCCTTAGAGAGTCGATGTCGTTTGATGAGATTTGACTCATTTCTGAGTGTATTTGACTCTTATTTTGATTAGTTTTGACTATTTACTAAAATTAATCAAAAGAGAGTCAATAGTTATTCAAATTACTTGAGTTAAATTGACTCAAAGATGAATGATTTTGACTCTTTTTTGACCGTTTTTGAACGGCCATGAATCAACATTGAGTCGGTTTTGATTTATTAAGACGAAAATTCATCAAAGAAAATGAAATTAATGGCTGAAGAATCAATATGTTTATTGATTCTCGATTTATTGGAAAAAGCGAAAATTATCTACTAATGGTACATTTTTCAAGGCAGAGAGATTTTTTGTACTTTGCCTTATGATTAAAGACTTCATTTTGTCAACAACATCGATAAGATTTCGTAGAATCTGACTAACGTTATCGTATTCAGATAGATATTGTTTTTTTATTGGGAAGATCAACTATATCAGCAATTTGATTGATTTCATTATCTTGAGAATCTTGAGATGTATTAGGCTGAATGAAATTCAAATATTTTAATAGAATGTCGATGTTTTGACAACTTTCTCAGCAATTATAAGTCCTAGAGACTCAAGACTTGGAAGACAATGATTTAAGCGATACTCAATAAATCATATTAAGAGATCAAGGTCATTTAACTCATTGGAAAAGGACACGTTTCAAGGTCAATTGATGGTCATTCCACGCTTATTCATCATGAGTGATGATTTTGAATTTAAGCTCCATTTTAATGGTGTAACTTTTTCCTTCTCAACATGGTTCTAATTTCTACCTTTTCTTTTCTTTCGACAACCAAAAAACGTGTTGATCATAATTTTTAATTTTGAAATCTCACTAACTTCAACTTTGCCTTTGAAATAATTTATCAAAATATTCCCTTACGAGCTTAATTATTATGAAATTTTTGCAAAAATACTGGATCAGGCTTACATTTTTATATTTCATGTAAAACTTACACATCAGACACTCAAAATAAAATGTGAGAGGGTAATTTGAGTTGCTCTTTCACATGAAGACCTTTCAGTGTGTCCTTCGGGAAATGACCCCAATGACCTTGATAATCGTAGGATCGAGTGGTTCAATTCTATTCAGTCCTCTGGTCAAGTCTGACATTCACATGACTTTTATTCTGGAGATAGCAAAATAGCCTTAGTGGATAAAAAACGCCCTGTATATAATATAACCAAAAACCAACATAAAAATTTGGTTCAGAAAGTTGGCTCAGAGCTGTTCGCTTGATAGAGTTCACGAGATATTATCTTTTCATATCATTTGTTATGGCCAAACAAATTTCACATTTTCTCTATCTAATTGTCCTAAGCTCATACATGTAACCCTAATATTCATAGTTCAGGGCTAATAAACCGCCAAAAATAGGTATATTTAACTGAAACGTCGGTATAGAATTGCAAAGGAATTTTCGTTAAGATAAACTTGATGTTTCTTGTGAATTTCTAATTTCTCTCAAAATTTTTCACTCTATTTTCATTGATATATCATTTCTCAATTGCTTCCTTTTTTTTAGTCTTTAAAATTTAATTAATCAATTTGTTCACTTTTGAGATAATTTTGTTTCTCTATTTATACCCAAGTGTTTATTAATTTCCCTGAAAATTGATCAGATAATTAAATTGTCTCCGTGATACTCTTTATATTTAATATGAAAACTACATAAATAAAAAACCTAAACTGAATGTGAGTTAATGACTTTCCAGTTCATTGATCATCATCATCAATTAAGGTTTTCCATCAATTTTGATGTCAAACAAATGATTGTAAATTGATCTGTATCATTATCAACGGTAAACTCTTTAACCATGGTAATTCAGCTCAGTTTTTGAATCTTCTCATAAGTCTCAGCATAATAACTCTTTGTGTAAGCCTTAGGTATATATTTTTGCTCTAATATTTTGCTAATACATCATTTGATTCAAATCAAGTTGGAATTTTTTAAAAATCCATTTTCTCCATTCTTGTTTCATGGTAAACAATTGATCAAATCACTATTCTAACCTTCATTTATCTTGTGTGTAATTTTGTTACTTGATGTTCATCAAATCTCATGTGTTAATCATAACGTTCCGGTTATTATTATTACTTTAATATCTGAAAGAATGAGAATACCCACCAATATGGAAAAGAAAAAGATTATAATACCAAAGCCATTGGAAAGAAAGAAACTTGATCAGTATTAAGAAGATGGTTACATTTGATGAATTGAAATATTCTTCTTCTGTTTCTATTACCACATATTAAGTTGTCTCTTCATCTTCACAAAGTGTAAATCAATTGACATTCACATTGAACACCCAAAATCCATGAAGAATTGGAGGATATCGAGTAAAAGAAAACCAGTAATAATGATGATAATAATAATGGAACAGAGGAGAAAATTATTTTGGACCAAATGAAAGCCAAGACGAGGAGTAAAGAGTTGATATGATAAATAAAATAATAGGTTATCTTTGAAAAAAGAAGTATTGAAAATCCTCATGAGCAAATGTCCTTTCGAAACATTCTCTTCCCTACACATATAAAATTATCATGAATTCTTTTTACAGAATTTCTCTTTCAACATTATTTATTTAGCATCATCATCACACTTTTCTCCTTCATCTTTCATCTTCTTTTTACATGTAATACTTTAAAATTCTTGATCATATCCATAATACCATGGAAAAGAAACGTTTCCCTCATCATATGTTTCTCTTCAACTGTTATAATCCATTGGATGGAACGTGTAAAGAGGATGGATATGCATAAGAGGAAGGGAAAAAAAGAAGAGAACTGAGAAAAGAAATCCTGAAGAATAAGAGTATTCCAAGAATGACGAGAATAATATGCTAAAGACACTGAGAATACAAGAAATTCTGTAAGAAAAAAACACAAGATTCTGCTAACCAGTCATATAAAACGATAATTCCATCCGATATAACTCAACTTTTACATGGTTAGTTACATGGATTGATTATAAATGTAATTTATTTTTCTCTCTGTTATTTAGTTGTCCACTTGTTGACAGAGAAAAAGATCAGCTGTAGATAAATAACAGAGAGAGAGAGAGAGAGAGAGAGAGAGAGAGAGAGAAACGAGGAAGATGAACTTAATTCTGAATCCAATCCCGTATCTCCATCAATTGTATCAATTGCTTGGAATCGAAGCTAATTAAAGTAAACAATTAGCTATAAATGTTTACTGTCCTTCTACAATCAACTTTAGTTAATTGTATTCAATTCATCTTATTGTTAACACAATCAATCTCTGCCATCACCAACCCACAGTTTCCCTTAAATCTAATTTGATTGTTTGTCAATTCAATCAATTAGATTTTCTAGAACAATTTATTTTCACCTTTTCTATTTACCTTTATCTCTCTCTCTCTCTTCTTTCTCAACAATTACGATTAATCAAGGAACAATTTAATCAATCCATCAACTTAATCATCTTGACAATTAACTTTTTATCAAGGTGTTATGATCAGCTGACATTTAATCAACATAATTTAAGATTCAATCTTCCAAGATGATTAGGTTAATGATTGATGATTATATTTCACCTTCTTAATATGGCTAATTTAATTTACCTTCTTCTTCCTGCCATCTAATTAGCTAACAATTAATTAATTGTAAACCAAACTTTTATATCAAATAATGTGATATTCAAAGTTAATTGTGTAACCTTTTGTATACCATGATAATAATAATGAACCATCAACGACAATTAACTTAATTATAGCAAAGCATGAAATACATGAGACTTTATTTTCAATGTTTTGATTGTTGCCTTGATTTTAAATTGTTACAATTTGTTATATCAACAATTAAATCACAATGTTATCCAATTTACGGTAAATTGTCAGGCAATTATTAAGGAACGTTAATCAATCATGATTTAGTAAACATAAAGGTAAATTTGTTTACCTAATTTTGAACCATGTTAATTGTGCCAATTTGATGACAATTAACAAACTATCAGTACTAATCATTAAATACAATCACCAGTATAATAATAAAAAGTTTACACTGTAAAAGTCAAACAATTAACGTTTTATTTGCAACCCTTAACTAATCACAATCAACTGTAATTGTGATGGAAATCAACATGATTGTGTTAATCTTTGTGTCTCATTAATCACAACAATTGGTAATTAAATTAATAAAATTTGATGCTAGTTAATTTTGATTAAATCTCAGAGTTAAATTAAAAACTATCGTGTAGTTTGAATGAATTAAAATCACATTTCAACGATAATTGAAATTAATTTACTAATTAATTAGAATCACAA